GTATCATCAACATTTCTTTCTTCTTCCATGACCAATTCTCGTAAAATCTCGTCAATAGTATCTTCATAACATTCATTATCACTAAGATTATATTTATCAGTATCCAAATCAGAATCTGACGATGTAATTTTATTTACGATCTCTTTTCATTATTGAAAAAAAAATAAGGGCAGAGATTTTAAGTTATACCATTCGGTACTCGGCAAAGATTCCAACTGTTCATGCAGGAACAGAAACAGATATGAATTAACAGCGCACGCTTCCTATAGCGGCACGGGTGGCCTGTAGGAGATTTTGTTGTAAATACGCGTGGCAGTCAACGTGTTAAACAACAAATATCGTGTAATCATTTCGCATCAGAAAAAAGGAAAGAACGTATGGGACACTCTAATATTTAGAGAATTCGGATATCGTAGGTGAGATAGGATAGCAGAGGTTCGCTCCAGCACGTGTACACGGCGGTAGCCGAATCTCGCGGTTTAGCGTGGCATGGTAGCAATGGTACGAAGTCGAAAGTAAACCACGCGCCGCGAAAGCTCGCATAATTTCTCGGGCAGAGCGGCGCGGCGGCGCGGCAGAGCAGTTCCGTTGGGCAGGCAAGGTGAGAGATAACTAAGCCGAGTCGATTTACAGTGGCCGGTGATTTATCGGCCTTGGAATGCGAGATGTCGTTAATCGTGTTGCACGCACCTCGCGGCCCGCCTATGGCCTGTACGCGGTGCGCATGCGCGCGTGCGCGCCTCGACGCCGAGAAGAAGAGTCGTGTATGTTTACGAGTGTTTATGCTTGTATTCGGCGGCCGAACCGGCGAACGTTCGAACTTGAATCGTTCGATTGATTTAAGGCGGCAGTAATCGGCCGACTGAAAAGCCCTTGCGCGCTCCGCGTATGTACCGTGGATATTTTCGTGTTTATGTACAAGCACGGGCGAACGTTAAGGTCCTTTCCCGTTTCAACGGCTCTTACATATATTTCCAGCGGTGTTTACGTTCTTTGCTAGAAGTCCGGGGATACGCGAAAGGAGAGCCATCCACCAGAGGCTATTTGAGCCGACGTACCTTCCGCTTATATATCATATTGCCACATTAACCACGTCGCTTCGGGTCGTACTTCGCGACTACTCTAGTAGCCCGAAAACGAAAACCAACCTCTGCGTTCACCGGGGAGTAGCCGGTACGGAGCAAGGAGTGGGGGAGTAGGGAACAGGGAGTAGGGAGTAGAGAAGGAGGGGGTAGGGAGT